ACCCATTCTCTCTCACCCATTCTCTCTCACCCATTCTCTCTCACCCATTCTCTCTCACCCATTCTCTCTCACCCATTCTTCTTCCTAATCTTCTTCCCAATCTTGTTCGCCCAATCTTGTTCGCCCAATCTCGTATAATCGCCAGTAAATAAGCGGCTAGCCGTTTATTTCCAGTTCCGAAAACGGCGACGAGCTATCCCGGGAAACGGCTATCACCATCGATGCCGTTCATTTGCCTCACCGAAGTACCGCGCTAACGGACAAGCAAGGGTTGTCCTGTACACGCAATTATGTCTGGTCCCTTCCAGATCCGAACAACCAAATCTGTACTTCGTATATCGGCGTGTCCTCTTGTCGGCCCGAGTCCCAAGGAGAAATCTACGCTCGATTTTTCTGTGCTATTTCAGGAGTAGTCGTGTGTATCTGTAGGTAATCACCAATGGATGTTGGGGGTGGATGGATCCAGAACTTCAACACTGGCATTGCACTGCATGGCAGGATACTACACAGTAAAAGCTCGGTACACATAGCGGTGGACCTCCGTAGTCCATGATAATCCATATGCACCATATTCGTATCCGTAGTTGACTGGGAAAATGGCAAGGTTTGGCGTTGGAGACAAAGGGCGGCTTGGCGTCGGGGGAGAAGGGCGGGCTGTAATTTATGCGTCACACTATCAGTAATATTACAAGTATTTACATCTTGTACTTACATACACCCCATGTTCTCCGCATCCATTACCTACTCCACTTATAACGTCGTTCCATGCGGGCGGGTGTCGCATCGTCACGGCGGGCCTTGTCTTGTCACACAGTCACTGGGCATCCAATGTCAGCCCGGTTCTGATATCGTTTGTTTCAGTTGCTCCAATCGAGTCAGTGTGGCTTGCCAAGCCACCCGTCATCACCAGCCAATAGCCCAAGCCGAAGAGAGCTCCATTATCTCCATCACGAAGCGCCCATTTCGGTATACATCTCGCCATCATGATTGACCTTCCCCTAGACCATGGCTCCCTCGAGCATCTTCTGCCGGCATCCTGGAAAACGCAGATCACGGCGTGGCTAGCTGAGGACACGCCTTCCTTTGACGTGGGTGGATTCGTGGTCGGTGACGAGCCGCGGACGGCAACGCTCTGGGGCAAGTCGCCGGGAATCCTGGCCGGCATCCCCTTCTTCAACGAGGTCTTTGCCCAGTGCGGGTGCACGGTGCAGTGGCACGCCCGCGAGGGCTCGCACATTGAGACGCACGGCGGCAAGACTGCCCTCGCCACGGTGAGCGGGCCGGCGCGGGGCCTGCTGGAGGGCGAGCGTGTGGCACTCAACATCCTGGCCCGCTGCTCCGGCATCGCAAGCATGAGCCGGAGGCTGTTGGTCAATCTCCGTAGTGCCGGCTACAAGGGTACTCTCGCAGGCACGCGCAAGACTACCCCTGGATTCCGTCTCGTGGAAAAATACGGTATGCTGGTGGGCGGCGCCGACACACACCGCATGGATTTGAGCACCATGACTATGCTCAAAGACAACCACGTGTGGAGCCGCGGCAGCATCACCCAGGCGGTGAAGGCGGCCAGGGCCGCCGGCGGCTTTAGCTTGAAGATTGAGGTCGAGGTGCAGAGCGAAGAAGAGGCCGATGAGGCAATTGCCGCCGGGGCCGATGTCATCATGCTGGACAACTTCACAGGCGCGGGGGTCAAAACAACGTCACGGAGCCTGAAGGAGAAGTGGAAGGGCAAAAGGCAGTTCTTGCTTGAGGTTTCCGGTGGATTGACTGAGGACAACGCCGAGCTGTACATCTGCAACGGTACGTTTTTCCAAGAGTATGAGCGTACCAAGAGTACTGACAGATACCACTCCAGATGTCGATATCCTCTCAACGAGCGCTATTCATCAGGGAGTGCGCCACGTCGACTTCTCTCTCAAAATCAATTTGGAAAAGGGTCAGGGACCCGAAGTGTCGAGCTGAAGCAATGATTACAAATCGGTCATGTCCGAAAGAGCCGCAATGCTTCACAATGAGCCGGGCTTGAATCTCGAATACTTTGTGTAAATGAAGTTTCCCTAGCGTCTAGGGTTGAGCTGTATCATAGCTGGCTGCCTACGCAATACATACCTACATGCGGTGATTCCAACGTTCCCCAGGCATCTGTGAATGTATGTAGGCATGTACAGTACTTACAGACTACAGTACGGCTCCTGCATGATGATTCGGCACGCGGTTGTAATTCAACATCCTCCAGACTCACCGCTATTTCCCCACCTTCCACAAGTATGCGGATGCAGCCTAGCCCAAGTGTAATTTTAACGTTGTAGTTAATGCTGAAATGATGGGCGCTGATGCGCGGCCGATATTGTGACCCATGCCACGCCCCACACGGGAGTGATGGAATCAGCTCAATCAGGTACCATATCGGGGGGTATTGAGGGGGATGTGTTCGGCAGTGGGGCATTTCCCACGTGGCAGCCAAGCTTGCCGGACCGGGGTTCCGCTCGGCGCAGCCTTTTCCTGGCGCCAAGCCTCAATCTTCCTGACGCCAAGCCTCAATCTTCCTGACGGCCAAGCACACGTCTCGTTTTTTCTTGACGGCCGAGTTGGCGTCTCGTTTTTCCTTGACGGCCGAGATGGCATCTGAATTTTCTTGACGGCCAAGCGCACTTTTCGGCTCCTTCGTCATTGATGATCCCGCTTGCCTTTTCCTGTCACTGTTACCCCCCTTTGACTTTTCTGTCGTTCTTGATCCCGACTATTACACGCTCTTACTGCCCTTGCTGATTGTACTAGTCCTTACCATCTTATACTTACGCATACAAAATGTATAAGGTATACACCACATGCAGCAACATGTATTGTACTGTACTGTACCTATGGTAAGCAGCGTACACTGATACCCCCCTACTCCCGCTCCTGCCTGTATACACGTTACGTACTTTACAATACAGCCTCCGGCCCGAATTCGACCTCTCATTGTTTTGTGTCTTCTGATGGGCTGCATCTTCATGGCATACACTACGTACCATTTCCTTGACCCGTGCTCCTCCTCAGGCATTGCTTGCTGTTAAGATTGTGATGATTGTGATGACGATGCGCGAGAGGGCTGTCATCGCATAATGGCAAAGCCGGCCACGCCTCCTTCGAGCGTCTCCCAGGCATTTCTCTCTGCTGGCTTGGTAACATGAGTCGAGCCTGGGCCTGCTACTCAACAGGCATCCATGGGGTTGACCCGCCTATCACATTTACAAATGCACAATACATGGGTATTGTACGTAGCTGACTTTGACAGGGCCCCTCGGCCACTAATACTTACCCTTATGTATTCATACGGCGTAATCAATGGGGAGAAATGTGCACCTAACTCCTGTCCATGCTGCCGCTCCCACGTGGTGAAGGATTCAGATCCCTGAGCATGTCCGATCTAATCCAGACTTCCACACCCTGGCCCTGGTCAAAACCCCGGCAAGATTCCCCTCCTCAAAGATGCTGGATGTCTTCCAAGCAACCGTCGAGGCGCCCTTCAGGGCGCCCTTCCGGTCTCCCGCGTCCGCGTCAGCGACTCGTTGAGACGCCAGCGGAATTTCCTGCTGACAGATCACAATTTACCTGGAAAGCCAATGCATGGATACATGAGATACATGACCTTGACGAGGTAGCCGACCTCGAATAAAGTTTAGAGTTTTACATGCACCCCGGTGATGGAGTCAGCCCGAGGAGCAGTGTTGAGTTTCATCGGTTCCAGAGATAGCTTGTGCCGACGGGATGTCCCATGGCGATGTAGCATGGGCCAGTCCACTCCAACGGGTTCCTCTGAACGAGGATGAGGATGGGCCTTCAAATAGAGGGCACTCTCTCCTTCTATAGCAAGATGATCTCTTCGCTCTCCTTGATTGTTGCCCTCAAGCATCAAATGCAAGCTCCCATCAAGCTCCCTCTATCCTTCCACTTCCACCTCAGAGCGGTCCGTCATCATCCGTCAGTCTAGATCCGTCGCTTGCGGCAGTCTCCCACCCCATCTATGCGCATCATAGGTAGCATGGACGCCCCTAATATCCATACCCGGCGTGACTGGACCGAACTCTTCGTTGAGAACTCGCAAAGAGAGAGAAAACGAAGAGAGGAACACACAACAGACATAGCCCAATCAATTGTCGCCTACACTTTGGCGGCAGAGCAAAAGCTCGAGCAGGTGCTCGGGGGCAACGCGGGCTTGGCGTTGCTCGGCCACCGTCCGGCGTCGGCGGTGACAACACGGCCGAGAAACGAGCCGAGATAAAGCCAGCAACGGGACCGCCAGGGGGGGTGTCGCCCCGATGGGAACGGTGCGTTGACTTGGGAACACAGCCGGGGCTTTTGGGGCAACAGTTTCTGGGGTAAGGCCACAGGTGGCACAGCCATTGCAGAGGTTGCGGTTGGTTGCTAATCGTGCAGTTTCTTCTTGTTTAGTAGGCAACTGGGCATTTGCCCTGACAATGTCACCGTGGGGGGGGTCAAAAAACAACTCACAAACTCAGGGGAATAAGGGGAAACGTTTGGTCGTATGTATATCACATAGTTCACTTCACATGGCTGAATCCTCTTATGAATGGATAAGGCACGCCGGCATGAGGAGGGCATCGAGCTTGGCAATACCCTCCATTTACAGTACCGAACTTACCTACCACACTCAGAGACGCTGGTTCTGGTTACTAAGGTAGCCTTGTTCAGGGTATGGAATGATCATTAGACACCTACCTAACTGCAATAGTGGCTTTTCTTGGGTCTTAAATCCACAATCACCACTAAACTTTTCGCAAGACAGAACGTCAGGGCTCGTTGCGCAGGCGTGTTTGAGAGTGAGACTTCTCACTATGTCATCACACCACTGCCCACGCCAATTCGCTGAGAAATTACCCTTCAAGAACAGCAAAAGCTGAGAGCTTGGACTAACTCCAGATGGTTCCAGACTCCCCGCCACGACTCTAATTTAAGATCAGCTATCTGTTTCAGTTTGCGGTGGATGGTCCTCATCTGTAGTAGTTTCATCTCTTGAGCGTCCTTGAGATGGGGCCCATCGTGTAGGAAGGACTTATTGACCCAAGACTCAACGCGGTCAGCGTGTAAATACACCCAGTCTGGGGCGTGAATTACCTGGAATCCCAGATAGACACCATGTTCCCCAAATTGTCAGAATGTTATGTTAACGAGCACAGAGTTTGAAACTGAATTTCGTCAGAAGCGACACACACCGGTTACGACCTTTGAGTTCGAGTTGGAATCCCTGGGCGTCTCCCATCGCCTCGCTGCTCCTCGCAAGGCTTTCTTGTGCGACGGAACTCAGCGAAAGCTCGGCCCGTTGCCGGTGACAGATTCATCATTTGTCATTGGCAGGGGTGCGATGTAGGACAATTGAAATGGCCCAACAAAGCGGCCGCCTGGTGGTGACGCGATGCTCTCCTCTGCGGAAGAGATGGGGCCCCGCACGCCTCTCAGCCATCAATGATAGCTGTACCGGTCACCGCGGGCGTACCCCGGAGAGAAGCCGAATTCTTTCGGCCATTCCCTGGAGAGAAGCCGAATTCTTTCGGCGTAACCTGAAGAGAAACCGAATTCCTTCCGTCATCCGAGGCCAGCGCATGAGGAAAAGAGACGATAAATTAGGGCATCGACTGCAAACTGCCGGTGTAAGGAGGTACTGTACTAATTTTCTCCTTCCCCCCTGAAGGGCTGCAGATTAAGGGCGGCTAAGTCACGGCTGAAGAGTTTGAAGTCACTGTTACACAGGCCTATTTTACTCAACACTCAAAGAGCTCGACGCCATCACGGCGGGTCCGGTCTGGAGCCTGGCCAACAGGACCAGACCGGACTCACCAGAGCGCCGGCAAGCGCATGCTACCATTTCCGAACCCAATTGCAGACGTAGCCTTGGCAAAGTCTTGACTCGGCTCTGGTAGGCAAACATTGTAACTGTAAGTAAGTGATTGTAGGGGGTGGGATAAAATGGTACAGTACCTACCATGCTGAGCCCGGCCGCAACTATTGTGCAGCTGCCCATGCCTCGGGCAATCTTTGAGCAGTTGGTTGCCTCCATCGTCCGGATCGAGTCGAAAATGCTTCAAAAGCAGACACACTGGGCTCGAGTCTCTTGCGCATGGGACTTGGTGCCAGAACACGTGGAACGGCCCAAGCCTATGGCAACTCGGAATACCACAGAATCTGTGTGGAACGATATGCGATCGACCATCCGCCAGCCTGACGCCTTATGGGTTCACAACATAAGAAGCGTAACTGGGCTGACTTAGGCCTTCCTCGCCGTCTGACGTTGAAGGCAATCATGATTCGAAAACTCATATCAATTCTGGATGCCAGCAACGCCTCTCTGATGGCCCCTGATTGTATTGTGTTTAGAACTTGACTCCGGGGTCGGTCCGTTTTGCGGCGCATTGTTGAGTATTCTGTGGGCTTTCTGCAGCAGTATCGCGTCGGGAGAAGAACACCTAGGCTTAGCTGCTGCTCGACTGCCTTGCGGTGCGGGAATGGCTGCTTCATCAAGCAATCTTGCCCTTGTACTAGATTCCGTGACTCTTCAAAATTTACTGTCCAGGAGAGGAACAGCTAAGATGAGAGTTGCTTTCGTCTTCCAAGACTCCAAATCTGGCATACTGCAAGCGCCATCATGCATGGTTCCCAGTCGGGCTGGAACCTTTGCGTGGAAACATTCCAAATGAGCTGCGCGGGATGTCTCATAGACTCAACTATTCTGGGGATAATCTGCTGCAAGACTGAGTGCGGGGAGAGCACACTTAACAATCAGCGGTCATTCCAGCAGCGCATCTCAGTCTCTATGGATTGAGTCCCCCGGGGTCGTGTTGCATTTGTTGAATCTGACAAGCCCCAAATACAAATAGTAGCGAGCCTTGCTGTCAAGACAAGTGATCTGAACGACGGCGCCGCTGCTGGACGTTACCCTAAATGCCTCTGAGACTGCGCCTCTGACAAGATGGGCACGCCGCACACCCACGTAGGGCATTTGGCGGTGGTGGGCTGCCGTGGGCGCACTGCCGTTGTCCGTTTGGGAGAACGGGCAAGAAACAGTTCATGTACTAATCTGAGGGTCATCCTCACTCGAGCCAGAGGAATTTTCCTTGCTCCTTAGCAAACATCTCCTAGATAAATTCTCTGTTAGTCCCGACCGATCAACAACCTTCTTGCTGTCAGCTTTCCTAGCGTGTGTTGTACCACATAAAGAAGGCTTTGACATTGAGAGAAAGTTATTGACCTCAGCCACGTTCAGTCAATCCTGGCATGCGTTGTCCGTCCTCGACCAGCTCGCAAGAGAGGTTGCTTCCCCTTATCCGCCCGCCACGATGAACACCGCCTCTTGCTCCGATGGTCGAAATATTCCTATCAGGTATCGATACCCTAGGGGCACCCTGCTTCCGGCCGCCGTCGAAAACATTGCCGAGAACTGAAATGCGGCGAGCAGCTCCGTATATCAGTACGGGGCTCCAGGTGGGTCGTCCTCGAGCAACAGAAGCATACCTTAGGGCCCCATACACGTGTCATAGCACGTCGGATAGGGGACCGGACCGGGATGATGCAGGAACTGAGGTTCGAGGATGTCTTGAATAAACGCCCGAGGTAGCGTTTGGGCCCGACATTCATCACTGGCCTCTGCAGTCTCGTATGCCGAGCAGGGATAGGCGTGAGTAGCACATTCGCCGACCGACTTTTCCCACTTTTTGTTTCGTTGATTTATTGTCACAACTTGCGGACCTCCAACCCGAAACACCACCCAGATTCCTAGAACTCCCACTTAGGTGCCGGAACGGGAGTATCCTTTCCCTAATTTTGATCTCGAGTTTGCTTGTTCTTCTCCAAGATGTCGAAAATCTGTGCCGCAAATTGCACTGCAACGGGCAGCTGTCCTCACAAAGGGACAGGAGAAAAAGGGGTGGGGTGTAACATCTTCCAAGAAAGCTGCCCCCATTGCAGCCGAGAGAGAAGGGAGACTGACTTCCTCTGTCCACAGGCCCGTCCGGCCACCGACTCCGGTCAACCGATCGATTTGCCGTCCGCCAGGCCGTCGACCACCCCGTCGAGTCCGCAACAACATGAAGGGGGAATAAACCGAGACCTTGCTTCAGGCGATGAGACGGCCACGGCACCTCCGCGCGCCGTCGGTACTGAAGGAACCATAGACCTCATCACCAGCGGTGACAAGCAGAATAGCAAGTCGGCGCCCGGAGCAACTGCAGGATCTGTCGATGCCCAGTTTGGGTCCGAGGGGTAGGAGGGCCGCCCTGGCACAACGAACTGCATTCTTTTCTGTCAACACCGCTAACGGTATTTGCAGTCAGTCGGCCTCGTCGCTGTACTCGGGGATCGCAGATAACCAAGGCATTGCCCTGGTCGCAGGGGTTGTCAAAGGCGAAGACAAAGCAGCGGACGCCGTAGCCGTCTATGTCGTCGACCATCAGCAAGACCGGCACCCTCGCATTCCAGAGTTATTATATAACGGTACGGTTGAGGAACAACAAAGTGAGATCGTGGCGCAAGTCACAGAGCCTATACATCGACTCCAGCTGCTGCCCCTCGGGCACAATGGCCACCGTCCACTATACTCGGCCGCAATCAGGGAGACGGATGAGGAGCTGAACGACGAAGAGTCGACTGTGGAATGAGCTGGCCATGGAGGTAGAATATGAAAGGATGAATGAACAATTGTCCGAACCGGAGCATCGACTGTCTGAGTGGCGACACTATCGTCCAGTGTTTGCTGCCCCTTCACTAGTTCCGAGCCCGACGGAGAAACGCCGCAAGCTATACTTTTTCATGATAGAATTGTCGCAAAAGAAATACCGAACCTCCATTTTTTGCCACCGTGTCGGTGTCCGTTTGAGCGTTGCCATCAGCTCCTTCCGTTGGCTTTGGAGAGCCCATCGTCGCCCCTGCCAAGTCTTTCCGTCCACTCAATCCACAAAGACGAACTATGCGGCGTAACCTCCATTAAGACTGAGCTCGTCCTGATTGCCGACTGGACACCGATGCTTTTATCGTCATTGAAGGGAGCAACCTCAGGTACAGTATACTTAGTAGGACCTAGACGAAGTACATAACGTACCCTACTCCCGCTGAAGCAACCTTGAAGTCAAAGCGCTCCATAGCAGCACCCTTGGACCCTTAAAGCAGGCATATCTTGCAACACTGGGCGGCGATTGGGCATTTCCACCGGATCTAAGGTATGAAACCACGGCAGCAATGCATCGCCTAGTGCCTCAGGGGATACAGGTACGATGCGGGAGGCACCGTCCCGTCCTGCACCCCACAGATAATCTGATCGCTTGCATCGGCAACGTCATATGCCACATACTGCAGTACCACTACTATCACATATCAATGTGATAGCTTAACTCCCGGACCAGGTGGTGCGTTTGCTAAGGCACCGCGTGGCCCAGCTACTGTAGACGGTTCCCCGCCGGATCATGCAGCGAGATCTCTCGGAGCTGCCCGATGCTGCATTTGACGCTGTCGCAATGCCATACGAGCTCCCGCATGCTTGGAGGCTTCAAGCCACCCGAGTTTTGTGGTAAACCGACTGGACTCCGTTTTGATCTGGCTCGGATGTTTTGGGCAAAAGTACCTTGAGTAGGTACTTGGCTATGCCAGGTCTGGAAGATATCTAGGCAAAGCAATGAAGCGATATCACTGCGCTCTAATGCTTCGACATTCATACCTAGTTGATACCGAATATGGGCAGGGTAGCTATGATGGAGTTTGGGACAACAAGTCCCGTCACTTCAGGCGCGATGCTCATAATCCAACCCGTATCACGGGCCGAGACGATCGGCCACTGTCGGGTTCGTGGAAGTGCAGACTTTGCTCCATCTTGGCGTAAGAATCGGGCGCTAACTCAAGGTGACTTGCCAATAATGTAGCCCATCAATTGGAGTCGGTTCGAGCCCGCCTTGTTGGTCGGATGCAGTCTGCCGTAAAAGTGCTTAGGATACTGGCTAAGTGGTAAGTATAGGTAACGAAGTATGTACAGTACTGTATAATACCTCTGTGTATGTATTTCATGGGTGCGGACGTACCGTATCGTATGTATTATACTCTTGTACTCCGTACGTACTAGTTAATGAATGCGTCCGGCATGGACGGTAAATTCCGTACGGATACCGTCCTGGGATTCACATACCTTACTTAGCAAGTTAGCGGCGCCCCAAGCCGGGCCACAGGCCCCCATGATTGCCCGATCGACTCGACGGCGGGCTGAGGCGGCCGAGGTGTGTCATACCGTTCCGCATGCCCTGATCGGCACACTCGGAGCGCAGTGGCATCTTATGTATTTAGCTCTGGCATCTCGTATATCCTTCGTAACTGCTAGACCGCCGAGTGACTCTCCACAGTCAAACAAACGCATTACAGCATGCAAAGTGATTAACCTGGCACTCGACCTTGTCAAGCTGAGGCGGAGTCAAGATTGTACTGTACCCCCAATTTAAGCTGTCTCTTAGCGGGATCCGGCGTATTTAATCCCACGGCACTGTGCTCATTCTCAAGCAAGCAAACAACTTCCTCTGCTCAGCAACTTTGACGACTCATCACACCATAAATCCAGAATCTTCCACGACACAGAAAGTAAATTTCAGCAGACGAGGAATTCTTCCCAGCGCTCAAAGACACCATAACCGACGATCATACAGGATTATCACAAATCAGCGTTGCGATCGCTGACCAAGAGCGGGACGGAGACGTCAAATTGATGGAAAACCAACACTTGATTGAGCTCGACGGAAGGACCGGCGAGGGCGGCGGACAGCTAGTGCGCATAGCATGCGCCCTCGCTGCCGTCGCGACTCAACCGATTCGGATCACACACGTCCGGGGCAACCGGGAAGGCCCTCGAGGCGGAGGTAAAACCCCTTCATGCTTTCCTCCCCCAATCTCGCTCATGAGTCTCAAAACTAACCCCACACCCCCATAGGCTTGAAATCGCAGCATGTCACGGCAATCGAATATCTCGCCAAGGCCACGGCAGCCGACGTGACGGGGCTCTCAGTGGGCAGTCACACACTGGAGTTCCGCCCCCGGCTCAAGCCGTCGGCGCTGATAGAAGGCAAGGACCGCACCATCAAGATCTCGGCCGACTCGCCGGCAGCCTCCACCCTGCTCATCTTCCAGGCCGTCTTTCCCTTTCTCCTCTTCGCGGGCACCGAGAAGGGCGAGCCCATCACCCTCGAAATCTCGGGCGGAACCAACGTCTCCTTCTCGCTCTCGTACGAGTACCTCGATCAAGTGCTACTCCCCACCCTGCAGGACGCGTTCGGCATCTCCGTGGAGCGAAAATTGCACAGCCGCGGCTGGAGCCTCGGTAAACTGCAGCGCGGCAAGGTGACGTTCAGTTTCACACCGCTGAAGCCGGGCGAAACGCTCAAGCTCAGGGAAGCGGGGTCCATCTATAACGGTAGTCCCGGGAGGGATGTGGAAATCGAAGAGGTGGACGTGTCGATGATCGTCCCGGCGGAAATGCACGAACCACTAACGGACGCACTCGTCGCTGACCTTGAGGAGCTGTTCCCGGGAGCCAAAGTCAATTTCAAGATCATTGAGGACAGCGGAGCGGATTCAAGGGTTTATGTCCTCCTAGTGGCAAAATCAGGTGCGCTGCGCTGGGGGAGCGACACTCTCTCGTCTATGCCCAAGAAGTCAAAGGGCAAGTCCGGGCCGCGGCCGACCATTTCATTTTGTGAGGACATCTCGCGTCGGATAGCTAAGAAGCTGTTCGACGAGGTGGCGACTGGTGGAGTGGTCGATGAGTTTCTTCAGGACCAGCTTGTGATCTTCCAAGCGCTCAGCGAAGGCAGGACATCCTTCCCTCGAGGCGAGAATGACAGCGGTGGACTGGAGCAGGCCGTGGAAAACTTGGAGATCGACGAGCGCATGCGCAAGGACAGGACAGACAAGCCGTTCGGCGAAGGCAGCTTGCACACCACTACAGCACGTTGGGTGACGGCGCAGCTGCTCCCAAGCGTTGCGTGGTACAACAAGGGGAAGATTTGCGAAGGCGTCGGAATGAATATGGGATCCGGAAAGGCACGCTGAAGCGGGAACCCAGTCTGGGTGGAGCGTGCATTGTATTATATACCCGCGTTCAGCGCTTGAGCTGGTTCGGGCTGGGAGAGGAGTTCCTTGGCGTTTAGCCCTTTGAGGAATGTTAGCTAGCTGCTTGATACCTCAGGCATAGCGTAATGATACCCCCAGCCAGATTTTGTGAACAAGAGTCATCAAGAAATACCACCTTAATTCTAGATACCCATCGTGGAAAAGGGGGATTTAAGGGGCATTGAATGAGGAAACTCACGGAATACCTACCCAAAACCGGCCCGTCCATGGTATTATTACTAACCCGAGTCGGAGATTTATCTATATCGCTCATAGGCCTCTGCTTCCTTTTGCCGCGCTTCAACCATTTCAATCACCTCTCGGCTGTATAGATCCTCGAGGTTCTTGGCGCCCTGCAGTATTTCCTTCTGGTGTCTTGTGGCTTCCTCCTTGGTCATACATACCAGATCCCGTAGCCTGAGGTTGGAAGACTTTTGTTCGGCGTTTCCTTCGCCGATACGGACTAGGGTGGTTTCCAACGGTTTTCTCCACCTGGTCAGCACGAGTTTGGTGGGAATGCCAGTGACGGCGCTTCTGCCCCTGAACGCCTCTTCCACCAGGAAAGCAATGTCTCCCGGCGTGATGGGGACCTTAAGACCGATGCAGACATCTGTCCGACCACCTTCGATCATGCGCACGATTTTTTCCTCGCTGGCTTGAACGTATGCCAGAATGGCGTCGTACATCTTGTCTCTGGCCTTGGCTGGTTGGTAGTCAATGGGATATCCTGGGGGAGAGTCAACAGAGACGCCCAACATTCCAGTTACACAGCGTCAATGGTAGGCAGGCTTACCTGTAAGTCTCAGAATAACATGGTTCGCCACTGTGTATCCAAAAACTGCCGGCATGGTCCCCAGCACCGGTAGGATACGAACCCGGAAATCAGGCAGCACGCCGAGATCGCCCACCGCCCCCTTCTGGAACTCCTCTTCTGAGAGCGGCAGCAGCGCCGCTTTGCCCTCGCCCATCTTCTCGGTGGAATAAACCACTGGAATCCCGCTGCTCACACCAAGCAGCTTCAACCTCCTCCTGGTGGCCCTCGAAAGCCCATCCTCAAAACTAGCCCCGATATCCCCCACCATGACCCGGGTGGGATCGCTCTTGGTGCCCGCGCCCATAGCCGAAATGACCGGCAGGCCATGGTCGTGGCAATACTTGAGCAGCTCGACCTTGCTGTCAATATTATCGATGGCGTCAATGACAAAATCAACAGGCCTAACCGCCTTCCCGCCCTCATCCTCCACCCAGCCACCCAGCAACTCATCCGCAACCTTGCCATCGAACTTCTGTAGCCTCAAATCAAACCTCACCCAGGGCGTGACGGCCACCAGGCGGCGCTGGAGGCACTGCACCTTGGGCAGGCCGACGTCGGCGAGGGTGGCGACGGCGTGGCGGTTCAGCGAGCTGAGCGTGACCTGGTCAAAGTCGATCAGGCGGAGGCGCGAGACGCCGGAGCGGGCGAGGGCGGCGCACGCGTGGGAGCCCACGCCGCCGCAGCCCACGATCACGACGCAGGAGTCGCGCAGCCGGGCGAGCCCCTCATCGCCGAGGAACACGCGGTTGCGGGCGAGCTGCTCGAGAATGAGCTCGTCGTCGAAATCGCCGTTCTGCGCGCGGTGCGCGAGCACCTGGTTGTGCTCGTCTTCCTTGTCGGGTTTGGGCAACGGGCCGACGCGGGTCAGCTGTTCATTTTGCGGAGCCCCAAGTGGGAATTTAGTCAATAAGACTGCTTCGGGACTGTGTGGAAAAGGAGGCAATGTTGTAAGGGGTCAAGGGTGGTGGGGGGTTATAGGGCGTACAGTTGGCAGGGCTGAATCGCTCTCATTGGGCCCCGGGATAGACTGCTTTAGGCGGGAGGCCCGTCGACCATCTTGTTGCAGGCGCTGGTAGCTCAGCACTGCGGCAGCAGCGACTGCAGCGGATACGACGGCGGTTGCTGCCAGCTGTACCTTGGGATTGGACGTGAGGGAGGTCATTGCCTTATTCTAGGTATACTGGATATGCAATGTGGGCTATGAATATCGTGCAATTGCAGCCATATCCGTCTAGATACGACAAGATCTGATATGGTTGAGATTGCTGTTGTTGAAATTAGGTTTCTCGTCCAAAAATTGCGAGGTCTCGTCTGGAAAGCCGTTGCTTTCGTCATTTATAACAGGGGTAAGCATCCGCCAAGGCTTCAGAAGCCTTACCGTACCCATTCAAGTTAGCGCAGAACTGATACCTTAGCGCTGAGTCTGTGCGCCAACCGCTTACCTCTCGTGCCTCTTTCTGTTTCGCATTCGAATTCGTTTCCCGAGGTTTGACCCCCCCGCCTTCCTCAACTCCACCGCAATTGAGTGAAGGCGGAGAACCATCACTGGACCGGCCAAGCTCGCATTCGGATACGGGTCTTGACTTTGATCTGAGTAAGCTACAGGTACACGTACTGTTGGTGCAAGTGGAGAGGAAACGCATCAATGGAAACAAGGGCCCAGCCAGTGATTGTAGACCATCGTGGGCTAGCCCCCAATGCCCTCCCAAGTCCCAACGAACATCCCAAGTTACCCCGCAACAAGGTACACATATAAGAAGTCAGCTTCCTTCCGAATGCTTTGGGTACTTGATCTAGGGTAATGGAAATCGTTGCTTTCTGTAGTCTCAAACTCGCGGTATGGTAGATTTTCCTCAACATTTTCCCCTTACCAGATCAAAGTCTGACCATCATCCTCGCAGTGTTAGCATAACTATACCCAACCCGTCTCAACAACACAATGGCCTCCGCTCAAGCCAAGACCGTCATTGTCACAGGTGCCGCCGGCGGCCTCGGCAAGGCCATTGCAGATGCCTTCCTTGCAGCGGGAGCAAACGTTGTCATCTGCGATGTCAACCCCCAACGCATCGCCTCTGTCGACGAAGAGTGGGCCAAGTCCTATGCCGGCAGATTTCTGACCCAGCAGGCCGATGTCACGGACGAGGCCGCTGTGCAGAAGCTCATTGACGCTGCCGTCACCAAATTTGGCCGCCTCGATGTGCTCGTCAATAATGCCGGCGTCATGGACGACTTTTCCCCCGTGGGGGCTTGTTCCAAGGAGAAGTGGGATCGTGTCCTGAACATCAACCTGAACGGGCCCTTTCTCACGACCAAGGCAGCCATTGCCCAGTTTGAAAAGCAGGAGGCCCCTGTGCGTGGTGTCATTATCAACATTGGCTCCAACGCCAGCACCCACGGCTTCAAGAGCGGCGCTGCCTACACCGTCTCCAAGGCCGGCGTCATGGCCCTGACCAAGAACACGGCCGGCTTCTACGGGGACAAGGGCATCTACTGCATGGCCCTGCTGCTTGGCGGCATGAACACCAACATTAACGACGCCTTTGCGGCAGGGTTGAATATGGAAATGTTCCAGAAAATCCAGGCCTCACAAACGCCCTTTACGCCCGAGAAATTTGTGCCCATCGAGAGCGTGGCCAAGTACTGCCTCTTTCTAACCGACAAGGACATTGCGCCCAGTGCAAATGGTTCCTGCATTGTGTTCAACAACAACTGGCCTGAGGCGTAGGGAGGCATGGATGGGGCACAGGATATAGAGCTCGGGTTCGCCTGGAAAGATTTTCAGGGGTGTAAACAAACGCCACCCGTCTAAGATTTGGCCCAATCGCATTGTGAATCCAGAGATGATCATTAAGTACCATCGTACCCCGAGAAGAATATAAGCCCCATTTCATTCCGACCAGCGGCATGTTGCCTCTGACAGCGATCCAAATCATCCATACCATCACGAGTGCTGGTGGGCGCCCTCCATTACGTCGACATTAAGAGCTCTTGCAGCCTCGACCATATGGTTCCGTGGTTCCATCGCATGCATTTTTAACTTTGCGACTTATTTCCTGCGTTTTTCGTCCCTGTCTAATGTAGTCTCCATGATCCCCATGATTTGCCTCCTGGTCTGGCGATTCTCCAAATTTCTGCTGCCATATCATTCATCTAGGCCTTTGCTACTACAGACCGCTAGATCAACACCGTAGGGTCATTACCCCGCCACATCAACTCAAACAACTTGATGTACGACAACAATGACCGGGCTCCTACTTTCCCGCCTTCGCCAGCGCCGTAGCCATATCCCTCAGCTTGAACTTCTGAATCTTGCCGCTCGCCGTCTTGGGGTACTCGTGGACGAACCAGACATGCTTCGGTGCGAGGTGGTTCGACAAATGCGTTCGCACCCATTCCCTCACGCTCTCCCTCGTCAGCAACTCCGCGTTCCCGGGTTGCTCCCTAGCCAGCTCTTCTCCCTCGACCTCGACGCCCTCGTGCGCAATCACAAACGCGCCGACGCTCTCTCCGTACCTCTCATCCGGCACCCCCACCACGCTCACCTCTGCCACCAGGGGGTGCTGAAACAGGCAGTTCTCAATCTCCAGCGGACGGATGTTCTCCCCTCCGCGGATGATGAGATCCTTGATCCGCCCCGTTATCTCCACGTACCCCTGCTCGTCCATGCTGGCCTCATCGCCGCTGTAGAGCCAAACCACCTCATTTCCGTCCTCGTCCTTCTCCACCGTCCTCACCTCGCCGGTGCGCTCCTCATCCCCCCAATACCCCCTCATGACGAGGTACCCAGCAGCAGCCAGCTCTCCACGCTGTCCGATAGGCACCACTCTAGAGCGGTCATCCGGGTCTACTACCTTGACTTTAGTATGAGGCATAGCCTTGCCCACTGACGCCGTCCTCTTGGCAAAGGGATCGTCGGGCGAGGTCATGCAGCTCACCGGGCTGGTCTCGGTCATGCCGTAGCAGATGACGAGGTCGCTCAGCCCGAGTGTGTCGTAGAGCTTGCGTAGGAGGGACTCAGGGACAGAGCTGCCGGCTGCGATACCCTTGCGTAAGTGGGTGGGGAAAGCACGGATGTGCTCCTCCGGGACGGTGGGCGGGTGCAGGAGCTCCAACATGGCGACGAACATTGTAGCGACGCCGTAGAGACCCGTGGCCTTGTGCTCGGCAGCCATTCGGAGAGTGGCGAGCGGGTCGAAGGCGGGCGATGGGAAGAGGATGGCTGCGCCCGTCGTTGCCGTCGCCATGTAGCCCAGGACGGAGCCAAAACAGTGGAAGAGTGGCGGCGGGCACACAATCAGATCGGATGGTTCCAAACCCATTCGGTGGGCGATGAAGAAGCCGTTGTTGAGTATGTTGGTGTGTGAGAGCATGGCTGCTTTGGGCTGTGACGTCGTGCCAGACGTGAATTGAATGTTGATGGTTTCCGAGGCAGAGATCGGTGAGTCCGGGATAATTTGACGCGAGGCGACGCTTGAGGAGCCTCGGAGATCACCGAGGTCTGGCAGCAGGGACTTGAACGATGTCAATGAACGGAGGGAAGATAAAGCAGGAAAGCAGGAGAGGGGGTGGGAAGCTGCGTTGTCGACTACAACCACCGTTTTGAGAGTTGGAATCTCGGGCGCTTCGACACGACCAGACTCAAGGTCTGGGACGATGGTTTGTAGTAGCGGTAGGTTACTCCGTCCGCGGCAGGGCTTGTAAGCGAGATCAGTGACAGCCCCAATGACCAAGAGTTCAACCCCGAGGTGGTTCAGTGCTGCAGTGACTTGCTTCACGTTGAAACCCGGATTCAGCGGAACGAGGATGGCGCCCAGCTTGAAGATGGCATAGGTGAGAGCGGCGAACTCGGCACAGTTCCCAAGACTCACGGCGACTCGGTCACCTTTCTTGACGCCCAGTGAGCGGAGCGAGTGAGCGATTGCATTTGACTCCAGGTCGAGTGCGTAATAGCTGAGGACCCTTTCAGAAGCCCCTGGGATACCGCTGGCAGGTATGCTTGGTAGTGCATCTCGGGCTGTCGTTGGTGAGCGACAGATAACGGCCGGGCGATCTCCGAATTGCGAGACAATGGAAGAAAAGTGCTCGGGGATTGTCTGTGACAGCAACGACGGCTTTGGAAAAGTGTCAATAGCAGCCCTAGGTCCGGTTGTAGCAGGGTAAGGTGGTCTCCTACCTCTCTAGGCCCCTGACTGATACTCGTCGTCAACCCGCCGCCACTGACCACTCCGCTTTTGTATGTCCTTTCCCCGACAGATGGGCGCGAGCTGGCGCGGAGCGGTAGCGCTCGAATGCCCCTACTCATGAAGCCATTGCGAGAGGTGAGTTGGGGGGAAACAGCTGTAGCCAGCCGCGGTTGAGGACGCATTGTGACTCGCCTGTCTCACGTTGCATGAGCTCACATTGGCTTCCAATGATAAATAAACCTGGATCGTCTCTACAGCCGCACCCATGGCGGGTGAGTCCGGCAACTTGCGAGGAGGCCTCACACCCTAAAAGGGATCAATCATAGGAAGGGGAAGAAGTTACCCCAAACCACGGTGGGGTTAAGACCATCGATCAATCTCCCTCGGCTTCTTGCATCGCGTAATGAGAAGTCACCGCGGTAAGGCGCCAGTGGTCCAAATAAGGGAGGTTCTACCTATGCAAATTCCTACCTCCCGTAGGTCTTGTAGGAGCAGGAGTCTGAAATGCGGGGTGCATGAACCATTCGTAGACGGGGATATTCTCCACATGCGAGTGAAGCACGTACCCCTACGGAGGTACCCTGACACCCGTCATCCTTCCTCAGGGGTACTGTATGTACAGTACGTACAAGTACAAGTACATTGTCGCCTTACCCAGGCCGATGGTTTACGCCATCTCTTGGTTTTCGTTTCTCAAGCTCATGATGCCCAGCTGTATTCGAATTGGCCTTTCTTTCTCGTTCTGCTCATCTCAGACTCAGAGCTTTAACTGTTCGTAACTTGGCGATCCATTGCAACCCCAGAATGGCATCCGTTGTCAACCCGATGGCGCGGGGTTAGCCGTCTCCACTTTTTCGTAAAACCAACCTGGAGATCGGAATCGCAACGTCATTGGAGGCACTGAGCCGTCCGCAGCCGGTCTCCCTTCCCGGCTCGATTCGGCCGCAAAAGGCCAAAGGTATCCGCCGGCGCTGTAATGGATGTCTCGCGGACCCCGACCGATCGACGGCAGGAAGTGCCGATGGCGGTTGTGTACAATACCTGAACAACAACCGTGATAATTCACTGTCCCTTGAGTCTAGCCCTGGTGGGAAGACGAGGATGGACTGAGCTAGATGCCCAGATCCGGGCCGACTGCTTTCGCAGTAGTGTGACAGCATGATGAAGGCCGTGTTTTTTGTATGCAGATTGCGCCCCTCGACTCAATTCTGCGCCCTCGAAACAGAATCGCCCTGCCCGTCTCACATGGCCGTCACCTGACAACACCCCGTAGCCCGCTCGTGAAACGAAACATGGGCCATTCAACCGCCCAGCGGTGGCTCGCAATGCCATATGGTACCGTCCGACAACGGACACGACCTTGACCTTGTATGACACCTGCATGATATGAGCTGATCTATCTGTACATGTCTGTCTGTGACGTGTAATGACAATGACAAGAAAGTAGGGTCCCGCCCTTGACTGGTCCGCAGGCTGTGCTGTTCTAACACTCTACTCCTGTCCCAGTCGGTGCTCTTTATCGTATAAGGAAAAGCCATCCAGTTGATGCAGCTGAAACCTCCCACAACGCCAAGCCATGCAATTAAGAGGCGTATTGCAACCGAACATGTGTACTAAAAAGATTTGGATAATTTGTCTTGAGAACATAACGCTGAAGAATGCTGGAGCTCGAATCGTTGCTTATTTCTCCCCAATATGGCGCTCACTTTCGGGTTTCCATGTGCCTGTTATCCCCGTAGTTAGTCTCGGGGACATCCAAGACGATTCTAAATGACCATGAATGGCAGTCACCTTCAAAATCGTGCTTCACAAAAGCCATTGGATCATCATAATCCTTGGCGCCCATCTGCTGGACGCCTGGGGAGAAGCTTGTGATCGGGAGTACAATGACATCCCCAACCTGTTTCGGTGCCTCCATGCCGGTAAAGTTACGGTAGTCAATGGGTCCGGCGGATTGCGTCATGTCGAAATAGCGCTCGTCATTGAAGTACTCAAATATGATATCCGTCCAGAGCGCCGGACCTGTGAATTCAATGACATTCTTGTCGATAATATTGTTCAGCGACCCGGCCCGCTTGCGCTGCAGCGTTTGCTCCGTGATGCGCGCTACCGTTTCCCGCAAGATCGGATGTCCCGGCTTGCTCTGGATGGTCCACTGGCAAAACTGTATCCTCCGGCTGTACCAGTCCTTCCAGTCTGGGCGATCGGGATCCGCCTCGATGCCAATCACTAGCCCAACCGTGTTCCGGGGTACCGACTCGGGGATCCAGTCAAGGGCGCTGCGGATCGCATACGTGTCAATGTCCGAGTATATCCCTCCTCTTGCTAGCAGAATCAGGTAGCGAAAGAAATCGGCCTTGAGAACTGGCAGCGGGAGCGCCTCATATGCCTCCAATACTTCGGGCACCGATGCGTAGAGCAGCCGCAGCAAATGCACGGCCACCTGGTCCGTGATGACCTCGTGTATGAAGCCTGGATGCTGTTCCGTCCATGTCGCCTCTTGCTCGCGGAAGTTGAATTCGCCCTGTGCTGGTGTCCACTTCCACGTCTGCCAGATGTAGGCGGGAAACTTTGTCTCGACGTCGTAGGGGAACTGGTATGCGAGCTTTTCGTTGAGTGTCATTTTGGACATGTCCTGCATTGTTTTCTGTCCCTGCGGAGACGGCTTATTGCGGTTCCCCCCAACATGTACCGCATCGTCGTTGAGAAGGTCTTGGTCGGAGGACGCTGTCGTCTGTGACTGCTGCTTTGATCCAGCGCCAGGTTGTGCTTTCGGAAATTCGACCGCAGATGACGTGGCAGCTGGCGAAGTCGACCGTGTCGTGAGGAAGAGAATCGTGATGAAGAACGCCGCAGCCACGAGAGCGCGGCGAAAGGTGAGCATTGTGCAGCTCTGCTCGTGTCTGATGCAAGGCAAGGAAAAAGAAGAGGTGCAGCTGCCGTAATACTTAGCTTGCTTGATGTATGGACGCGCGGCAGTCCGCAAGCTGGCAGATGGATCCAGGAGTCGAACTCGGAATCATTCAAGCGCCGAGGCGTGACGTATGCAGGAAGGGACGCTTGACATTTGGAGTCTAAAATGGCAAACCCGGAGAGATAAACAGGTGAAGAGAAAAGAATTGGTATTACAAAGTGTCAAGCAGCGCGGAATTGGAACTCAGAATCAGAGAGTTTGTCGGTCAATATTCCTCGAGTAGGGGATCTCCCCTTAACGGTGCACTAATCTTTTCAAGATGCCCTGATGCGAGGAATAGTTTACGAATACCGTACGGAGTACGTCTTATTAAACAGTAAATGGATTTGGAGCTGGCTAATCGCTTATGGCTCGCAAGCCAAAAGATTTCCAGTAAGTGAAATTACACTACAGTCAGTACGGGGTATTCGTACATGCGTGGGAATGCTGATCATAATGTAAATTATTGTACCACCCAACTACGGAGTACGGATACAACGAAGCTTCGTTGATCGGGTCAGCGCTGGGCTGACGATTTACAACTTGACCTCGGCCTCCAAAAAGAGATCTAATTACAATACGTACTTAAGTACCCGAGGCAGGAGCTGAGGCAGAATAGGGGATAAGCTGGTTAGCATCTAAGGCAGGTAGATACTGTAAGGTACTTGTATTAACACAAACTTGCACAGGGCCTGGACAACGGTACGGTAGTACATGGTGGAACATGGTATTATACAGTACGTAGATACTCTCATCAATGTTTTCGGTACTCCGTATAATTGTTGTTCATACACACATGCGTACAGTACCTCTGTACCTCAGGAGATCACCGTTTCTCCATCGTAGCGCGGTTCCCGAAAGTGACTCTGGCTGAGTCAATCCACACCAGTTTGATGAACGACTCGAAGATGGCAAAATTTCGCAGCAGATGTCTTTTCCAACAGCCTTTGGACAATTCGAACCCCGCCTCACCCGCGTCATTTCCTTGATCTCGAGTGGGACCTGAAACTTGAAACATGTGCCCCTGCAGCAGCCAGCTAGTGCGCCAAGCCAGACCAAGCTTCTGCCAAGCAATTGTTTCAAGAATCCAAGTCCCGGGCAATCCAGCCAAATTGTCAGATGCGCGGATCAACAGATATTGTCATAAACGTCCCCAAGGGCCCAAAGGCTAGTGTATGGTTTACAAGTGATTGTTTTTCTCATTGGCGGTCCTTCTCAGCAGCAATTGAGTCTCCCTGTTGAAAATAATTAGGGAACACATGTCATCACAGGGGCGCAGGCTCGCATTCGCAGACCGACTTTGCGTCCGCTCGAAGTGCCTCGGATTCAAAAGCGGGTTCGCTTAGTCCGACAATTATTTTGCCCAGCTGGTAGCTATTCAGCGAATGTATGAACAGGCAGAATTCATGGCAGTCAAATGAACTTGAATTCTCAGACTTTGAACCGTGCTTCATACTGGAGGTATCCTTGAACCTCACCCACAACTGAACTTACAAGTCTTATACCGAGGGGAACTTGAAGCCATACATAACCCCTTCTCGTCTTACATTACTATGATTTCTCAACCATAATTCAAAATTATGTCTACTTTACCATGGGGTTCAAAAAGTATGTAGGTACATGTACTGTACCGACAGTAATCGATGTGAGTGCTCTGGCAACATCGCGGCTTTCAAGTTGCCACGAGGCTCGAGCGAACGGTTCGTTGCGAGATTGGACAGCAGAGATTGTCCGTCTTATTCTATGGTGTGACCAGAAACCGCCAAGGATTACAGGCATGAGCAAGGTAAGCTGCTGTGCCTCTATTTACTACTATGTAAAGACTTTCCTTAACCTGACCGCATAAGTCTTCTATCATTCTAACTGCCATTCGGCAGTAAATGCCACTACAAGAAATGTTTGTACGTTGCCCTAGAAACCTCGCCTCGGCTATGCTCCGCAGAATATGTATCAAGCAATGTACAATACAAATACAGCATTATGGATAACATACCTAAGCAAGGTAGGTATATCTACTAGGTATTTATCGACGCCTATCCAGATTTACCGTACGTACATCCATACATAGTACCTTTACACCTTATATACTATATGGATTGGTACTGACCGGATTTCAGTCCTGCACTACATAGATATTCGAATATCTAAGCGACCACTTACGATCATCCGTGCCTTTTTCAAGCTCATGGATCCTGGTTGATGAACCTCCGCTCTCTCCTCTCTCAGCCTGCTCTCCTGATAACGGCAGTGGTAGCCGTCGGAGACTTCTGAGTCTTTATGCTTCATGTCTAATATCTCCTACTATCAGTGTCGGCTAACTAGGTACCTAGTACCTACCTTACCTAGGTAGGTAAAACACCAGCTCCAGTCTTTACACTGAAAGTCGCTCCGTTCCACTGATATGCGATTCAATGTCTTTGGACGTCTCACTCATTCGCCGTATGTGGTATGATTTCTACAATAAGGTACCTTAGCCGAGAGGATTGACAGCAAGGTTGACAGCTTTGGCCCTCAAATGGAACCTCACCGAGCAGCTTGCAATCAACCTGTGACTAGCACGGAGAGAGCTAGGTTGTCTCTGACATACTAGCAATATCACACATCGCGTTCAGGTTGTCATTACAGTACTACTAACCTCACGCTATTGTATTGCTCAAACTTGTATGTCAAGGTGAATTGCAATAAGGGGAGTAATGTCAAGGGTCCCCTTTCCCTGGTAGAAACCTACAATTGCTGTGACTGTCTAGTAAATAGGTCCTTGTTTATAGCTCACTGCCAAGCAACACACCTTCAGGCTGGCAGACCGGTACGCCCGGGCTCTATCCACGAAGTCTCGTCATGGAAATGAGGTGTGTAGATGTCGGTGCTTTCACACATGATGCCAATAACTGCCCCTACTCTTTCCCGTCTGTAACCATCCAGAGTACCTTAGGCGGTTGAGGCATTCCTCTCCCACATTACCCCTACAATGCAAGCTGATCTCGGGAGCCTTGTCTGCTCACCGAACAAGGCGACAACCATAACCGGAAATGAATTGGCTCGCCCGTGGTCACTTGTAAGCCGCCCTTGCGCGCTAAGCGTCACATTCCGGTACAATCGAGACATTTAACATTAGTGATATCGTTTCTGCAGATCAGAGCCCGAGGCAACTAGCCTTGGCCATGGCCAGATACAGGTTGCCTTCCCCGAAGTGCCGTGGCTTCAAGCTGCCTCCGCTCTTCTCCAAGCGTCTCCTACCTCAATACTGCACCATCGGTGCTACCTTGAGGCGGGAACTAATCTACTATATGCGAAGCCCAAGGTGGCACATCCTTCATCACATGCGCCCAAAATGCACAACCAAACTGCAATTCTTCAATAAAGCCCTCCTGGCCTACAATTGTATCTCGCCGCCTTCTTCACTCACACTATTGGATGTCGACCAATCGTGATCGAGGGTCACTACGAGGATACAAGCCACTTATCTTTTCCAGCTCAAAAAGGAGGGGTAGCAGTGAGGGGAGGGAGGGCTCGGCTTCTAGTGACCAAAAGAGTCACATTTCAGAATTGAAAATGCAAGAAACGCACACGGCGGCAAAATACAATGCCACGGAAGATCTGCAAGCCGCACAGAGTGCTAATGGGTGGATGCAGAATATACATGGCAGGATGTACATACATACAAGGCTATCTGCATCTTCCCCGCACATCCATCTTCATGTTGTGTCCGGCGCTACATGACGTGCCTTATTTGTCAAAGTCTTGGATGCCTTGGTCTTGGCTTGCATGTAATCATTGTGGGAGAGCCTTCATCGAAGCAAGCTTGTGACAGTTTGCTACACCATACATAGATCATTTTCTCCGTGTATAACCGGCTAGTAGGTCAGTCCTTCCGTCGGTAATCCCATCGATCAGAAAAGAAATGATTGAAATCATGTAGAGTGCAAGATCTCACTGGCAGGCTGTAATACCTCAGCTCAGGATCTATAGGAAGGAGACTCGAGCCGTGAAGCACCGTAGCACGACCCGGGATTTCAGGGGGCGATTGCGAACATGATGAATGTCAAAATATCTGGCGACACGAGAACAGTTCTCGTTTGTCTATCAGCAGCAGTCCCCAATACTCAATTACCTGAGTCCAAGTAAAGCGCCTGACAATGAATGTCTCTGAGCAGGGCGGGCAGTAAATCTCGAGTAGGCACCGTATGTAGGTACCTTAGGTAGTAACGCAATGTAGTACAGCATCGTACTGTACAGTACTTCGTACTGTACATACATACCATTAGCAAAGTTGGAAACTGGCAAGTCAGCAGACAATTTTCCATTTTCTTACGGATCACGCACGTAAAGATAGACAGGCATTAGTTATCTCAAGGACTGGACACGGACAGATCGGATGCCAAGTAAAAAAAGGGGCGTTGCTGTGGTTACGCCAATCTGTGTGGGGCCTCCCGGTTATCCAGTTCATAACCCCTGAAGGACATGGCTCAGGCTTCACCCACCCCTAAAAGAAGAACAAACAGACTATAACAATCATTCTCCGGATCTTTGTCTGATCGTATTTAGATACAAACTGTGACGGAACCGGCGGCTAGTGTTTAACCCACCAAACCGCCTGTTGGGCCGCATTATATTACAAACAAATGTAAGATTTTTTTATAACACAGGAATTGGGGACAACTCACCGTGATGTGTCGCGCATGTACGATGACAAGATTGGCTGGGTTGCAAAGCACTTGTGACGGTGCCAAGTTCTCGACGCCGACTTGGACGAATCGTGAGAATGCCGTGGCCACCAACTTTAAAAGTATTTCGTCGTCATACCCTTGAGGGACGGCTGGAACGATGCATGGCCGAGATATTTTCTTCAGTCAATGCTAAAACCTGATATGACACCGCACTGACTGCTATCAGAGACATGCCTACCTTATTATGCTGAGTCACTTGTTCTCCATCCTCGATATCCTTAGCCAGCGCAGGAAATACAGCTTTCGAATCTCCTCTCCCATGGAGCACAAAGATGCTCGAAGAAATTCCTTGTCATATAATTAGCGTGTGATGCCCCGACTAAGACCCTTCAAAGTCGGGTACGCCCTTCTGATTCTTGCGCACCTCAGGCTCGATTAGGAGACAATATTCGTATGACTTCGACAGACCATATGGGCGACAATCTGGGTACATGGGAACTTGAGGCATTGATGTTTCATAAGACTCAGCAGGCCCGTTAAATGAAGCAAAGACTGAATGCCTTTTTCCGACAACCTGCTGTATTGACTGGCAACGAACGATGTCGCTCGAACTTTCAACAAGACAATCGACAAGCTCGAAGATATTCCGACGGACAAAAATGGCAAAGCTGCCAGTAGTGCCTTCACCCCAGCCAGCTGAGTTGATGATTGAGGAGAGGCGCCAACTTGAGAGCAAACTAAACCGGCAGCCCGGGCCAACCTCGGTACACCAACGCGACCTACCGAGCACCTCATTGATGTTCCGAATATTCGATATCACTGCACATGAACCAGTCAGCGTCATCCCATACCTCTTGCTGGCTTCGATTCTCTTCGTTGTTCCCATCGCAAAGATCGGCGTCGCTGAGCTGCCTGGGATATGGAGAGTCGGACGCGGGCTCATCATGGTCGACCGCAGGTTCATTGAGGCAGTAGTAGTTCGGCCCCCAAACCATGTCATTGTGAACTAGCACAAAGCCCTCCGTCTCAATCTCGGCAAGCGCAGCGACCTCATGGTTCTTGTTTTGGCTCTTCTTGTTCTTTTCATATGCTCCACGTGCATGTTCTTTGCACAACTCATCGTTGTTAGTCTTTCTGGTTTTGTTGGTTTTGCTCCTTCTTCCCGTCATCGGCTGTGTGGATCTTTCAAAGAACAATCTGTCAGCTGTGTCCTGCTCCATTCAGTGCTAAGAGGTTGCTTGGGGCTCTCACAGAGTATGGAACTGGGGAAACCCGAATGTCTGCTGGGATCTTGGAGAGCCAGGCATGACCGACATTGAGTCAGCCAGGGCGTCTAGTTCAGCATGACCAACATCGACGGCGGTTTGAGGCGCCGCTACTGCAAAGGAGCTGCGAGGAGGCCAAGGCAATGTGCTAGTGCCCTGGCGTGGATTGACTTGAGAGCCACCCGGGTCCAGTTGGAAATCCCGGCTCGAGGCGTTCAGGGAGAACTGAAGAGGCGAGTAGAAAGGGGTGGAGGGTTCTGTGGCTATCACTGATCTCAGTGATCTACTCGCCATATTGCTCGATGATCGTCGATCAATCAACCTCGAAGGGCAAGTCGATGCAGCAGCGAGACCGTCTGTTCCCGAGGCGCTCGATGAATCTAACTGAGGATGGGGGAGGCACATGCACGATATGTGGTTCGAGGTGGATTGACCTTTCTTGTTAGGCATCTCCAAACGCGAGAGTGGTTAGCGAGAATACAGAACGCTGGTATGCCGCCTGTAGTTCTGGTATTGATGGCAAAAGGACAGAGAGTCAAGGGCGAGAGGAAAGCAAGGACAATCGAGCTTTTTGGAGGAGGAGCAACCAGCGACGATATCTTTCTGGCTGTTCTGGAAGGGGCGGTGAAAGCTCCGCCTAGAGCCCATGCCATTCTCGGCCGGCCAGACCACGCTAGATGGAAAGGCAACCACCTCAAGTCTCCGAATTATGAATAACCACATCCGATTGGGTCCGCGTTGGGTACTCCAGGGCGGACCGTCGAGTTCAAAGTTGCTGCCATGCGTCTTTTGGAGTCTAATGGCGACAGATTGTCAACTGGAGCAGACCGTTGTGCGCCTTGGTCGAGTCCGAAGACGGAGTACCTCGATACATGAAGGCTCGATGGCTCGGAAAATTGTGTCGGGCGGGATGCGGCCCATGTGGCACCTGCTTGATGGTTCGCAGAAAATCAAGGCAACAACAGAGGCTGAATCTGTTCAATGTTGGTTGAGGCATGCCAATAATGGGTTGGAAAGCGTAGAGCATATCCCCCCCGTTCGGCAAACCGTGAGTAAGGAGGAGCTTTGAGCGGCGTTTTCGGGGTGAGCATCAATGAATTCGGTAGGGGGCCTGGAGTATAGGTATCATGATTGAGAAGCCAGGTTTAACATGGTCAAGTGAATGACCCGCGATTCAACTTGTCAGCCACGGTTTGAGAGACATGCCTGACATATAACGCGGACAAGCACCTAAGCTGGAGCGCCTTGCATCTATAACAGTTGGGACTACCTAGTGGGTAGGCAATCTGTCTTGATGCAGTGGTCGGACCGCCAACTGACAACAAAAATGGCCGAGTGCAGAGTCTTCCGCAGGATGTCACGTAGCCGCCAACCCTGGGCTGCAGACGGGATGGCTGTCGCAAATGGTGAGCACCGGTGGACAAGCATCCCGATACTCCCTTGTAGCTATTGCACTGCAAGGGATCTATGCAAGCCACCGGAAACACTCTTCAGTTACTTTGCTTTCCAAGAAGGCACGCGGAAAAGTTGCACGTACGTGTTGCTAAACCGGGTAATTATCTTTCCTGTAACTTTAATCCTGCAGACACCAGCTCCAAGTTGAGACGAGCTGAGCTCAATGCACCAAGAAAGATATCTTAGTTGTTGAAGCTGGAGCAGTATTTGACTGGATACTGGCCCGGAAAGGGCTTTGCTAGCAACTTGGTCAGATCCATGGATCTTTACGAAACAAACTGCCCGGTTTAAACAGGAGCCTGCGATCTGGAACCTGACGGGACATGAGGAAGGATAGAGGGACACTCGAGTAACAAAAAACAAGATGGTTTAACTTAACCCACAATAGATGCAAGATAGTACTTAGAGAACTGGATGGGAGCGGAATTCGAGATCCCTCAAAAAGGGGATTGGTAGGGGGAGGGTCCAGTGGTGGTGACATCTGGCCTGCGCGCAGGAGTGGAAGCACAACCGGACCTCCACATACACTTTAGGCTTCCCCGACATGTTCCTACAATCGAGTCTTGCATCTGTGTTTCTGCAGCTCAGTTACGCTACTGCTGTGGCGTAGCATTGGTGGTTTCCTCGTAACTGCCTGGGATCCATTCATGCTCAACTCTTGCCCTTTCATTTATTTATGTCTCCCCCAACACTGCTTCCCGATGAATTCCTCAATTGCCATGCAATTGCAATCGTGCAACACGAGAACCTGTAGATGCGCTGCTTTTTGGATGCAAATTGCGTTCTGGATCCGACCCTTTCATTGTTACTAATCGCGAAGCCCTCCGTTCATCCCACCCGGCAAGCGCGCGGTTCCTGCCGCCTGAAACAAAGCCTCCTGCACACAATCACATCCTCTGTCTTAGGTGGCGTCAACTGTAATTTCCCCCTGCGGCTGCTGTGTGGCTTCATACAGTCACAAAACCCGGTTTCTTGGCTTTGAATGGAATTGTAAACTTTGCACGAGACTGTAAAGGGATGCCGAGTAACGCTCGAGAGCTGTGGTTTCGAACTTAAGGTATGTAAGTAGACTGCTGTTCGTTACCTTACTGCTCTCAGCCGAAGCTGTCAAACGATGGCAACCCCCGGGCCGTCCTTCTGTCTGAGCGCCTTGCCGATCTGTGATTGTCCACCATTTACCGCTGGATTAGTTTCTGTTTCGGGTTACACAAACCACTCTTGAACAGGGATCTTGCGAAGATACTTCACATACCTACCTTAGGTTCGTACAGCTCATGAACTAATTACTACGTGAGTAAGAGCAGAGCCGCATGGAGCCTTGCGCCTATAAGACGCTCCCATCATCCTCACAAAGTGGGCACGCCACTTAGGGAGGCCGTATATTGCAAGTCTCGGTCCATAGCGGCCATCACCGCACACTGAGGCACCCAGACCCTTCTGTTTTATGTTCAATGGTTCCAACAGAAGCAAATTCTTCATCCCTCTCCACTACTATGACGATGAAAGTACGTTGCTAGGCATTATCTCTACACTTTGTAACACTTCCAATTCTCTTCCACCCCTTTCCCTCCTGAGTTGAGGTTCTATGTTATCACAGACCAGCACGGTTCTTTGTGGCAACACTTCCACGGTCCCCAGCGGCGTGAGACCTCTGTCCATGAAAACCTGAGCCCAACAGGCCTTGACTTCAAGTACAGAATCTTCTTCTTTCCTCTTCAATCAACTGTCTAAGACAATATCGAACGCGACGTGCCCTTCACGTTTCCCGACAGAGGTGTCAAACCCCCAGCCCTCCAACCCAATCACTTCTGTTTTATTTTTGTTGATCTTATTATTTCTCACCTCCTTATCTCATCCCCTCGCCTCTTCCGCCTTTCTCAAAGGATGAGTTTATACAACTCCGTTCTTCTCTCTCTTCTCTCCGCGTTGATCAGTCTCTCTTGCTTTTCTTTTCTCTCATTTTTCTTGAATGGCTTTTGAGCAGCGTCATGTGACGGCTCAGACGAGGCCGGGGGTTTGGGTTCCAGGTTGCAGTGCTGCCGAATTACAAGGACACTTTGACCTCGCCTCCCAGGTGCTAGTGCAACTGGTTTTGTTCCTAATATCCCGTTTATTCAATTGTGTGCATGGAGTGAATGGCATTGGCATTGCCAGAAGAGGCATCGTGTGGCGACATCCAGGTTCTGAGCACCCACCCTGATTGTGCAAGTCGGGTGCGGTACAGGTGCGAAATGTGGTCAATGAGAGACGGCATGGCAGCCTCGTGCAAAGCTGGAGTTGAAATAAGCTCTGCCGCTCCAAGCTGACTGGAGCCGTGACAAGCTTGGAAACCGGGCCGAACCGCTGTGGGGTGCTGCTGTGACGCCCTGCAAGTCGCTGGAGGGTAGGGGTTTACAAGCGCGACAAGTGTTTCAATGGAAGCCGGGCCGGGAGACGGGCCCATGCATTGTCCTGGTCTAGGGGGCTCGAATCGACAAACAGTACAACCTAACGTTACCCATGAGCCGATCAGTGTATGATTCGAGACAATTCCTAAAGTTACACTATCAAGGGCTACGCCAAACCGTGTACGGTTCAACACGTGAATGCACGACGTTCATAGGTATCTCCGGTGCTAGCAAGGCCCTACCTAACGTTGTGTTGCCCGGGTGCCAATGCGTCACCCAAGCCGTTCCCTCGTCCGTGCACTTCCGACGGGGTTCAGGACCAAACCATCCAGGGAGGTCTTCTGGGACGGTCTGCTTGGTCTGCTCTTAATGCTGCGGGGATCCAAACTCGGGCAGAAGAAGTCCTCCATACCGCAGTACAGTATTCACTTCATGCCAGGTCTGCCGGTGAGTCCCTGTCCCGGAAACTGAGCGGGTACGGGAAAGAACCTGACTGTGGTACGTTTCCTTCCGAGCTCGGACCTACTCCCATCGGATGTCCAGGGGAAACAGTTGCTCCCTGGAGTCTCGGAAAATGAAAACTGACACGGCGGCGGTCATTGAAATGTTCCAAAGGTAACCTAAGGTGGCAAGAAGTAATCAAGTTAGGGAGTATCCGTACCCATCACACGGAGATGGTTGATAAAAAATCGAGTGGAAGTTACAATGAGCGGTCAGTCCTGGCGCGCCTGCGCGGCTAGCGTGTCTCCACACCTCAGACCCTAGCTTAAGTGCTCAACTGTTCAACGACCTGGGGCTCCTAATTTGACTTTCGCTCGATGACGTCGAGGAGTATGGCTGATTCAGCTTCGGCTCTATCACAATAACGTTCTTCAAGTATCTTTACGAATGCGATTTGCTCTGACTTGTCAAAGGACGCTAAAGACAAGAGCCACTCACTGTCTTCTAGTACTAGTAGTCGTCTCGGTTTCCTGGGTTCCGACCAATCAATTCATCGTTTCCGACAGGCCATCAATCGTCGCTCGCTCACCTGAACCTCGAATTCTGTCTCAAAGGAATTGTCAAGCCGATTTCGCAGGCGTCGCGCTATTTTTGCCCTCTCACCGAACTTACGGGCGAGGGTTGGCCTACAGGCACCGCATCGAACCATCTTCCGTCCTAAGGTCGTTCCGGTTCCTACTGAAGTTCCGAATCAACGACGGAACCAAGAAAGATCTGCGGATATATTCTAGAGCGAAGATCTGCAAGGCATCTAGCAATGTGAATGGCCATAATCCTGACCTAAAAGTGCCCGATGTCCAAAACAGAACAATGGCGCGTGCCGAGCAACTTGCAACGATGAAAGCACTTTCTATCCGTTGAGTTACGTGGTATGGCGGGAGTTGCACGTCGGCTTGAGAGCTTTGGATGGCATTCACAGCGATCTGTCGAACGTCTACCAATTCGCGAGGAATCGGCTGTGGCTTTGCGAAAACTTTGCGAAGCTTCGGGTCCCGATCTCAGTCGAACACGCTAGAGCGGAATAAGCCGAGGATGGGAAAACGCCCCTCGAGATCAAAGGCCGATAGGGATCAGGAATCAGTCACGACTTAGGACGAAAGCCAAGCCACAAAGATTCGATGTTCTGTTACACGAAAGCTAAAATGCGGCCGGTTGCTTATTCCCTGACCTAGTACTCTTCAAGGCCGCCCCGTATCTCAAGCCAC